GTGGTAGTAGTAGTAGTAGTAGTAGCAGCATTAGTAGTAGTAGTAGCAGTAGGAGTAGTAGTAGTAGTAGTAGTAGTAGTAGTAATAGTGGTAGTAGGCGTCGTCGTCGTCATTGTCGTCGTAGTGTTTAACTAGTTAGCATCGTCGTCATCGCGGCGGTGGTGGCGGCGGCGGTGGTGCGGGGAGTTTTTGTCGCGTTTGCGGTTAAAGTTCTGGTGGAAGTCGTCGCAGCCTTGCTTCTAAACGCCACCAGCATCAGCCAAGAAAATTCGGGAACGAGATCGCAAAGACACGAGGCGCTTCGAGGCACAACCTGCATGAAATGATTACTTCAACCCTTTCCTAGGCACGGTCCTCGGCTGATTTGGTGCGTTCTTCTGCTTCCTGGTGCCGGTCACCATGCAGGAGCCGACATGCACACCGAAATCTGAATGTGGCTACAGACGGCAACTCCGCCACTCTGCAAGACAGGCCGACACGAGACCATTCGAACGTGCTTGCGGCCCATTCTGCGCAATCGGCTGGGATCCAGCGATCGAGTTCTTCCCGCTTTCGGAACAGTCCAGTCCACCACTAGCCGTTCACTGGTGCCTTCAGCCGCTGTGCGGTGTCGGCCTCAGCCAGACTTGATTTTCGCAGATGGTCGAGCTCCTGCAATCGGGCAGTGAGGTGTGGCAGCTTCGTATCCGGGGCTTCTGGTAAGTATGGGCCTCTAAGCGGCCTCTATCTATGAGGATGAGGCAGAAACTGCCACAAACGTTCATGCTTCGCAAAATCTCATCTGCGGCGTTGGCACACAGTGACATTGCATGCGTTGAGGCAACGGGATTTGTCCGGTAGCAAAGTCTATAGCAAGTCGGACGGCACGATGCCGAATCATCAAGTTGTTGCGCGGACTGCTGGTGCTGCTGCTGCCCACCGCATCTGAACAACACAGTAACAAGGGAGGCCAGATTGTCGAACCTGAGGCATCAAACTTTGGAGTCAATTTGGCTCGTGAAGAAACTCCTCGGCGGCATCCTTCTTGTCCAACGTCTGCTGTTGAAGCTTGGCTTCCAACTGCACCACGCGCTTGGACAGCACGTCTTGCATGTGATTGGCCTGCTGCCCAGTGGACAACAAGGACATACAAAGACGCTCCGCTGATGTCTGTGGAGAAAAAGGCACCATGCATATCAATCCCCTCTGACTCTGTTACTGTTCGTGTGCACAAATGCCTGTGGCTAAGTCCTGAGTTCCGGGTTTTGACGGGTGCCGTTGTGGGTCCAAAGCAACGAACATGCAACTGTGACTGTGGCAATTCTAAACATTCACCATCATTCACCCTCCATCTCGCCTTGCGAACCGTCTCTTCCTGCTCTTGCAGCTTCTGATGCATGCGTTTCCGTTCCTGGAACAACGGAGAGAAGGCAGCTTTGAATCTTGTACGGAATTGTGTGCGTGTTTGCTGTCATACCTGTCGGATACACGACAGCGCCCAGAGCTGCATACGCAACAATTTTTCGTGTTTTTATATTAGGTCTTTGTTGCCGACCACCCATGTTCGCTCTCATGTTCATTCTTGGACAACAACAATGATATTGCCGGTGTATCTTGACTATCTCGACTGCTTGTTTTGCACGCATGCACGCATCCATGCTCACCTGAGCAGGAGTGAGAATTCAGGTCTAAGGACTAACAAAGCCGAGAAAAGCATGTTGTGTCCGTACTGCGCTACCCACATCTTTGTGCAAGCGATTGTTTGTTGGTACCGACTCTGACTGACTCTAGACTCATATCACTCCATGTCCACGCGCATTGCAATGCTTCCTTGCGCACTGGGAAAATTGAACACACAGTCAGGCTACACCTGTGTTGGCGATAGCACGTAACTCCTCGACATTACAACAAGGCTGCTGCTTGCTGTCCGGCATGGAAGCACGGCATGAGGTGCTTGAACAAAGCTTTATCGAGAAACTCCGGAAGGGAGAGTGAACAAGGGGGCAAACTTATGGGCAAAGGCGACAGGCTTAGGTTCCAGGAGGTGCCCAGGTGACATTGTCCAGCAACTTGTGCTTCATTGTTCTGCGCACGGGACAGGATGCTCGTCTTGGGTACCGAAACAAAGCAAAACCTGAGGTACCTTTTGCAGCTGCTGTCCAGGAGATTGCGAGAGGAAAACGAGGCTGCTTCACACAGCTGTAGCATGCTCTTGAGCTGGGAGGCCTCATCAAAGCTCGCTTCTCGATCCTGAAGCTCTTGTTGCAAGCCATCGATCTCCTGCTCGTAGCCTGAGACCAGTTCACAACATGTCCTCTGAGGGCACCCGAAGACCTCCTGGATTCTTCGCACCGCGAAGATATCCACAGCAAACGAGAAGCGCAGGATTCAGGGCATCCTTACAAAGCCTTGCTACAACTTCGAGTTGACAGATTGGAACAAAACTTGGCACAGCAGTGTCGGACCCAGCGATGCCGGTCGCCAGAATGTCACCATGACTGCCGGCCCAGTCGCCAGCGCGAAGCGATGCCATATCTGCCAGGGCAACTTGATATTCTTCTGCAAGCTGCTGAATCTGCCTCGGGTTCTACAAGTAGCAACAACTTGTAGCTGGCGGCCTTCACCTCGTTCCGGGGATTTGCAGATCGGGCTCAGGTCTGGCCGGGCCGGTGTCTTAAGAACTGGGGCGGCTCCGAAACGGATGCCGGAGTGGAACAATGCACTTTTCCTGCTGCAGGGAAGGGTTCCGCTGCAAAGATGTAAGCTAGCCAGGACAGCAAGGTGAATAGTGAGAGGGGGGAAATCTGGACAACTGACCTGCGCCATGCAGGAACATTTCGGCCAGGCCACGTGGGAGTTGACGTCTGAGCCTGCCGGGCTCTGGCAAAGCTTTCTAGTGCTGTGTCCCAGAACCTCCCAAGAGCCTGTATCGTGGTCGCGAGCTCCTCTCGAAGCCTTACCACCTGCTCGTGGGGGCGATTTGTCCAGTTGCAGACGAATGGTCAGAAGAATCACGACGGCACTATTTAACACTATTTACGGAAACAGAAACAGAAACCCGCACCACCCCAAAAGATCGGATGCTGACAATCGCAACCCTGGAAACTGGTTGGGTCTCGAAGCTGGACTTTGCAATGGCAGCTTTTCCGACTGAGGCAGTGACGGCTCGACCGACTCTTGCCCTTCCCCCAGAACACCGCTTGTATGTCTGAGAAAATCGAAAGTGCAAGCTGAGCCAGAAACCCAGAAATGAGACTTGAACCTCACAAAAGGCAGCCTCCTCCTCAGCGGTGCTGGCAGTCACCAGTTCTGCTCCTGAAGCTTCCCACGATCCTTCTTTTGCTACAGTTGAAGTACACTACAACTACTTGTATCTGTAGACTGACAATGTAAGTACACCTTGCCCTGCTCTACCTATCCCCACTCCATGAGAAGCTGATGAAACTGGATGCAGAAATCCACAGGTGCTACCGGCAGCATGGCTTCTTCTGTGAGCGCGTCTGCCGCCAGGTCGCTGAGATCTGTTGCCTCCTGAAGGGCCTCCTGCAAGGCAGCCTGCACTGCTGGCGAGAAGGCCGGGTTGAAGAGTTTTGCTTGTCTGACTCTGTGTACATGAAGCGTTAAATTAATGAACATTAATGTGGTTGGGCGTCCTGTGCATGATAAACCATGTCTCATGCGGACTGCAGCCCGTGATGACACCGCACCATGCAAATGAAGCATGGCAACACGGGTTTTCCTCCCGCATCTAATCGACAAAAAACAAGCAATGAACCCTGCTACTGACTATTTAAGCGGTGACCGCATCGAACTGAAACGGCTGCTTCTCATGATCACCCACGCAACGAGACCCTAGTGACCTAGTGCCCTGATGGTTCTGGCAGGCTGTTTCATGTTGCCGGTCTGCAACTGCTACAGTAAATACAGTTACGAACAGCCAAGAACATGCTGCAAAGGTCTCGTGGGCTTTGATTCTTTATGGCAGATACTTAGCAAATACTTACTAAGCCCTTGCAAAGCGTTTGTTGAGCCTGTAAAGAAAGCCAGTTCACTAACGTTCACGTACGACACATTGTCTCAACTAGATACACCCAGCCACTCACATGTCCCTTGCTACTGCGACGACGATGACGACGACCACGACCCCTGCACCTCGTGGCTCGACAGCGCCTCGGCTGCTTGAACCAAGCGGCTTTGGCCTGGGCTGAATGGGCTGAGAAACACACGAACCCCAAGAGAAACCAACGAGAAGAACTCTTTTGAACGCACCAGAGCTCCACTGTGTTTTCGTCTTTTTGGGGTTAGGGGCCATTCGGGTTCTTGGGGTTAGCGGCTTCACGAGAGGCTTGATAATGTGTCCGAGAATTCGGGTCAACATGCCGAAGTGCCGAAGCATGTTTCATATCTTTTCCAGTTTTTGACCGACAGCAGTATTCAGCAAAGAATGTTTGCACAATATGCCGGCCAGAACCAACCATTCGCTGTCATCCCAAGGAAAGGATGCTGCGTTGAACACTCCGTCACAAACTCAGGAGTCCCTTTATCTCAGTTTGCCGCTGCTCGTTCTTTTCTTCGCTGTACTACTCTCCAAAAGATTGCCAGAGTTCGAGTCGCAGCACGTTAACTGTCACTAGGGCAACTGGCATTCTGCTTTCTCCGCTTCCAAGTCGGCAAGCTTCTGCAGTAGATCCTGGCAGCACTCAGATACAACGGGACGGCACGGTGCTGGCATTCAGATGTTCCCACATGTGCTTGTGATTCTTGGGAATGCTGGGGATGGGGTGCCGGTAACAATGCTATAATGAGAATGAAGCCTTGGACTATTTCTTAATGTTGACTCGAACAGAATGGGAAGCGTCATCGAGATGATCATACGGTACCGGCATGGGAGCTGGAGCCTCCAAGCTCACAACCCCTCAATTCCAAATTTCCTCAAACCATCATCATTCATCTTTCACTTCATGACTTGAGCCATGTCCGATGGCGTGTCATCCTTGAGAAAGACCATGCTAACCTTAGAACGGCGTGCGCGTCATCCTTGCGAGGGGGCAAGCTGACCTTAGCACAGCAACACTCCTCCTCATACGAGTGGCTAATGCAGTCACTTGGATGTTCAAAAGCATGCAATCCGAGCCAGCTGGACTATTCCTTCTGCTGAATTTTATGTTTCATCAGTACCTGGGGAGCCCAGCATCTGATCTCAACATCGCAGTGCTGACGTGGTCAAAACTAAAACTCACTGAAAGCCTGCTGCAAATCGTAGCTGGGCCGACTTGGTCGGGCCAACTTGGTCCTTGGAAGGACCTTTGTCAACATATCTGCAATCAACGTTGCTCCGGGATGGTGCTGCAAAATCATGCCCTCCTTTCGAGTTGATGGCGCAACCATGCTGCCCGACGGCCCGACGTGCGAAATCCCTGGTCCTCCATGTCGTGACAAAGAAGTGCTCCCTGTTGGCCACCGTGATACTAGCCGAATTGTCCCCAAACAGCTTGAGCTGACACTGGAACGATCGACCAGTCAATGCCTCCAACAAAGGATGAATCTTGGACACCTCAGCTACCACAGTGGCTAGTCCATCTGACTCCGCCTCACACATGCTCCACGCAATGATGGTTTGCTTCGAGCTCCACCAAGTCAAAGGACAAGCTGGCATCACCCCAGGCAACCAGTGAAGTACTTGGGCCAAGGGAGACCCCCAGCAGCCATGTGCAACTCCCAGAACCTGTGCCGGACATTTGTGCAAATGAGATGCCGCACTCGAAACTGTGGACAAAATGTCACCTCTCGTCTTCAGTCTGAGCCCGCTTGAGCGTCTTTGCAAAGTCAGGGTCCTCCTTGTTCTCGGTAAAGGCTACATCTCTCTGCCTACGACCAGACTCAGCCATCATTAGTGGCCAAGACTTCTTGTCCACGCTGCGCCGAATCAGGAAACCCCCAGCACGCTCCTTCCAACAGACGGACGGTCCCTGTCAGCCAATCCGTTGGCCTGCGGATCATAGCCCGTCGCCGTTGTCTTGAAAATTCCCAAAGCGTTGATCCCTTCAGTCACCTCCTGGGCTGAGAATTCACGCGCCCGGTCCGAATGAACCCTAACTACCTGAGGTCTCTCGCCACAGATCGCCGACACCTGAGCCAGGATGCTCTGCAGTGAATCAAACATCTCGGACCACAACCTCCGCTTCATAGGCCTCATGAAATGCAGTTGCAAGCTGTCGTCGATCCTGAAAACAGCCACCAAAGCATACTTCGATCCATCGTAAGCTGCAGCATATGGCCCGTGCTAAGTCTATCGACAGAACACCCTTAGAAATCTGGTCAGCAGTGGCTTTCCTATGCGGGCGGCGCAAGCCGCGAACTTCGAAATCCTTCAAGGCATGACCGGGACGCGCATGTGGAGTTGTAAGATCTCTGACCTCCTCAGCAGCAACCTCGAAAGCCATGAACCTATCCGTATGAGATCCCTCATCAACATCATCATCATCATCTCCAACACCCCAAAAATCCTGGACCCCTTGCATGCCATGCGTCACACCCTGAAGCGCATCATCCTCCGAAGAACCCTGGCTAGCTTCAGTGGGGAGAAGTTCGGGAATGTCGTTACTGCACTCTGCTTCTAGCCTGCTGCTGCCGCACGTGGAAATGTTGTGGGTCGCTGCTGCTTGCTCTGCTGATGCTCCCAAGCTTCTGCATCCTCTCATCGTAAAAACCTAGGCTGCCGAGCTCCTCAAACAGTTCAGGAGTCACATTCATGTGATCACGAGGTGTGTAGCCAACCGCAGTAGCTCTTGTTCCCTTGAATGGCTCAGTACCATGCAACCGTAGAGCAACATTGAATCTCACACTCCGATGTGAAAGTTCATGTAATGCCGCCCTGCCTTAGGCTCCTCATTGCAGTCGACTCGTCTAATGGCGTTGTTCCCTTTCTCACCTGGCAGCCCTTCAATCCAAAGTTGACCCCCCAATGAAGCGGGACACTCCAAACAGGACTGATTCCCTTTCAAGAGTGCTGCGATCGCGATGAGGACGAAAAGCCAAGTTGATCCCAACACCAATGGGCAGGAATTCCAAATCCGGATGATGCTGTCGCACCATCTTCGTCAAGAGTCGTGTAAGCCATGGATGCCGAAGTGTTTCCGAAGTGATTCCTAAGACACCACCATGAGCGAAAACACCAAACGTCCACATCGGAAGTTGCTTGCCACCACCGTTCTCAAGAACCTTCTCTGTGTCAGATCTTCTCGCCACCAGGCTGGCCATTTGAATCGCATCCCAAACCTCATCAAAAGTGACCTTGGTCTTGGCGCACAACTCCTTGGCTCTCTGCTCTCCAGCATCCTCCAGCGCAACGGCTGGTGCAACCTTGCATTCCTCCTTAAACCGACTTCCAAGAATCTCAATCGTCGGCGCATAATCTGTCACATGAAGAGGTGCAATTTCTGCTCGCATGAGGCTGATGTTGCCACGCTTTTCTTGCATTCTTTAGCCAAACGTATGCGGATCGGTTTAAAATCCGCCCATGATATGTGTGGGAGTCCGTCCATGATATGTACGGGAGTCCGTTCTGCTCAAGGCAATGCACAGTGACAGAAGACTCACCACTCCAATACTTCACCCTAGGACCCAACTCATCCCAAATGAACGCACCTCGAATCCCTCGCAATCTACGTACACTGAGGATCCAATCAGCATTCTGATCAAGCTCAGCATCCCCAATCGTAAGCTCGCCATCCCGTGTTCTCCATGCGTGCACTGTGTCTCCCGATGCCAAAGCTACCTGAGTTTTCTTGCAACGATGGACATAATACTCAGGTCTCGGTCTGATCACTTCGTTTGCGCCTGAATGAACCAAGACTTGCGGACCTAGGTCAACCCTGGCAGCAGTCGCACATGGAATCCCAACTTGCTCAGCATAGTTGGCCCTTTGAGAAGCTTTGGGACTTTCGGAATCTCGTTGGACCCAGAAGGATACCCAGGGCGCCTAGCCACAGTAGGAGCCTTAGCTGGCATGCGCTCAGCTCTCTGATTCATGACTTCCGCTCCTGAGAAAGCTTGAAGCCTCATGCCTCGCCTCGCATCCTCAAGTGTCCAAGGCTCGATCCTAGGAGGAACACTGCTTTCAGTCAGTGCAAGCATCTGCTCACGACCCGTATCATCATCGATCACATGAACCAGGACAACAGGCCTAAGCACCCCGTCTAAATGTCTGATGCGCTTCAATGATGTGCTGGTTCAGCCCTATCTGCACATCTTCAATGGGAAGCTGGAAGTCCAGCTCTTCAAGAATCTGCCAAATCCCCGCAGCAATCAAGTTCGGTCGATGCGGCCCATTCGACAAAAGAGCATACTCAGTTTCATGGAGAACAAGGTACGGTAATGGCGGTCCACTCTCACTCTCACTTTCTCTATGACACGTCCCGTGGAATCACTAGACAGCCTAGACCCGCCCTCAGAATCCGAGGCATGCTCCGATGTCCCACTCTGGTCAATCTCAGGCGCAGCTTTCGCCATCACTCGAATCGACGAGGCCCTGGGACCTACGTCCAAATCAACTCCGAGCAACCCAGCAACAGCAGCCTTTGCCTCAGCTTTAGGCTTAGCTTCCGGTTTTGGCTTCGGTTTCGGAGTGGCTTCAGGCTTTGGGAAACGACCTTTGTCCTTGTTGTCCTCCTTTGAGGACTCAGCTGTTTTACCGCTACTCTTAGTTTCCGAAGTGAAAGCACAAACGATGCTTTCCTTTTGCCGCCGCCTCTGCGGCAACGACCACCTCGCTACTTTGAGCAGCTCGTGCATCTCTGACCTCTTGATCAGATGCAAGTCGTCTGCACTCCACTTCGAGCAGACTGAGATATCTCTCCAGACCAGAAGCCGCTGGGAGAATGAGGTCCGGTTGCATCCTCAAGAGATTAAGCTTCATGGCAAGTTGGGTGTGCTTTTTCTCAAGCATCTTCATCAAGATGTCCAACGCTGCAATACTCTCATTGGGAGCCTGCTCGGGTAAGCCTACGCTTTGAGCACGACCTCTAGCCAGCTTCCACCGTGTAATTGTAGTCATGGCTGCTTTGAAGTCTGATGCAGAAGGCAGCTGGCGCAGATACCGCTGAATGGACTCCAACTCCTCGCGACCACCCGGAGCGTACCGCTCATGAAGACTTTCGAACAACAGAATGCAGCGAACACTACTCGACATCGAACACTCCACCACCGGCTGCCGTACTGCTTGCGGAAGGATCTTCAGCATTGTCAATGACAACCTTGTTTCCATCTCAGCTTCTTGCCCTGTCACATCAAGCAATGCGTCCTCGCAACCAGTGAGTCTCTTACGCTCATACCGTTGTCGTTCCTCCTCGTAGATACGATCGAAGTAATCAACAAAGTTAGCGTGAATAGCTGCCAGAACCGTCCGGGTTTCAACCCTCCACTGATGCACGGTCATCCCAACCTCCCACAGCTCGCCACCAGAAGAAAGATCTAACTTCGGAGCATCTTTGAGAAGCTTGTACGACGCTTGATTGATCCGAAATAACGCTCTCTCTCTCTCTCTCTCTCTCTCTCTCTCATGGGACAGAGGGGGAGGCTGAGAACACGGACCAAAGCTCAAACCCGGAGGCTCTTCAAGACCACGATCCTGGGTGGACCAATCCGGTCCTTCACCCCACCACGGATCAACATACTCTCCATCTACGCCCTCATGCGCAGCTGGAATGTCCGGAGTCATGGCGAAGTACGAAGGTCCCGGCCGCGGAGGAGCGGTCGAGCTCTCATCCGTCTGACGTAACCTGAAAACTGAAACCCTCGACATTCGTGCCAAGCTCCCTTCTGATCGCGAGATCTCGCTCCCGCAAACGACTCACAAGGCCCTCAAGCTCGGTCACCTTGGTGACCATCCAACTGGTCTGCTGAAGGCTCTGTTCATACTTATTTCTCATCGAGTCTGCTTCGGCTTGCGGCTTCAGCATCTCGATCTGTTGCTGGTGAGTGTTTTGCTGTTTTGTAATTGCATTCATGGTTTCCGCTTGCCGTTCCAGCATAACTACAAATTACTGCTTCTGCTCTTCGGCAAACTTGTCAAGGAGACCATCGTAGTCCTCGCGCATGGTGGCCTGATCGGCCGCTGCTGCTTCAAGATTACTCTCCAAGGAACTCACTCTCTGAACCGTCACATTCCACTTGGATTTCATGCTGGCTTCAAACTCTGCAAGAAGGCTCATCGCCCTCTCATGCTCTGACGCCAATGAAACCACTCTCTGACCTTGGTGCGCACCATGTGATCGCAAAGCATCCACTGTTGCCTGCAATGTCGAAATCTGCTCTCTGTTCTCTTGGCTTCCGGAAGCTGTTTTTGGAACACATTGTCCAAGCAGCTCTGATCTACGGAACAACTCATCGGCCATCCCTTGCATGCTCTGACGAACGTGATCAAGATCCGCCAACTGTCCCAGCTCCAACCGCTGCAACGCTTCATGTCGTGATATCATGTCAGGAGGAATGATTACCTGCGAAAGGCTCTTAAACACCACTGACCCAGCTGCTGCTGATGCATGTCGATGCTGCTGTTGCTGCAAATGTTGATCTGCACTGAGTGCGGAGTCCTGCCCAAGTGAAGCCCTTGGGCTCATAACCTGCTGGTTATGATCGAACAGAATGAGAAACGTCATCAAGATGATCATACGGTACCGGCATGGGAGCTGGAGCCTCCATGCTCACAACCCCTCAATTCCAAATGTCCCCAAACCATCATGGTTCATCTTTCACTTCATGACTTGAGCCATGTCCGATGGCGTGTCATCCGTGCGAAGGGCCATGCTAACCTTAGCACGGCGTGCGTGTCATCCTTGCGAGGGGCCATGCTGACCTTAGCACAGCAACACTTTTTCACCGTTTCTGCACAAGCTTGTAACACCTCGTGCCCTGGCGGACACGTGTGCACATCCCAAGCATGCCTGCCGGTGCTTACTGAAGCGTCAAGGGTACAAAGGGGCCTGTGCGGCTCGACTGGACTCGAAGCTGCACAACTCACTAATGCTTGCTTCGGGGCGGTGTAACCATGTAGGAAACAGCTCTCACCATCGTCTTGATATTGCATGCATCCCTTCTTCCCGAAACCACAGGTACGAACCGTGAATGAGACTCCACCCGAAGCGAACGGAGGACGACAGATTACACTTATTCTTGTCAGTTTCTTAGCAAGTATTGCGTTTGTGCCAAAACTATCACGTTTGCTAGCTGCTAGCCTTGTGGGTTTGCGGATCCGTCTCTGTGCTGTTGCCACTTGCTTCACTCAGGTGCTTACAAAAGCAGCAGCATCTACGATCGAAGCTTGTCATGACAGTGACTGATACCGTAGACTGCATGAGACTGTAGCCAGAGGAACGAAACAGTCGCAGAAACTCCTTTTGCATATCATTATACAGCCGTACTGGCCAGAGACCGGTTCAACTCATCGAAACACGACTGAATCAGTTCAATGGACACGCATAAGTACAAACATCGATCCCGTGCCGCGTAGACACGAAGGCAGAAAGCCGTCGAGGCGGATCACTGGAGACGCGGATGCAAACAAGCACAGTGCTCATGTCTTGACATCACCAATATCCAAATGTCAGTGCAGTAATTAGCGAGAGCTCATCTCGAGTCCTCGCATCCACTGCTTTCTTTGAGCTTGTCCTGTAGCTCCTGCCAATGGCTGCAGAAAAATGCTGAATGTACAGCGGCATCCTCCAAGATCAAACTGCAAAATGGCTGTGGAAGACATGCAGCGATCTGAAACCACGTCAGGAGTCTGCATTGCTCGGCAAAAATTGATTAGTAGGGTACCAGTGGCCACGAGCTGGTGCCCTTTCGAACTCGTCGCGACAATACCATTTTGGGCTAGAAGGTAGAAGGAGCAGAACAATTTAATTCGACATGCAAAGCACGGTAGTCGTGCGTGTTTGTGCGTCCTCAGCAAACACACTAAGTCATTGTCATTAAGTTCTCTCATAGACGTGCGCTGATCACACACACACAATCTCACAGACGCCCCCTTGCAGAGACACATATACAAACAAGCAAACGGACAGCTAGCCAAACATAATGATGGACGGATGCACACAGGAACGGCAACGCCCTCGTCCTGCAACTGCAGCTTGTGGGCCTCTTGCATGGACGCCTTCTCCTTTCAATGCCCCGCAACCGATAATTTGGCGATGTCATGTCATTCGGGGGTGCACTTGGGAAGCCCACATACTCTCGGCCAATCCTCTGAAAAGAACCTGTCCACCGTCGTAGTTCAACAGTTCTTGCCGAAACATGCATGCTTCAAGCACGGCCAATTCTGTTTAATTGATCCGGCCTAGCCTACGGCGCTTCGCAATTGCACCAGTACCAACCAATGTGTAACGTGTAACACTAAGCCAAGGCAAGGTCCTTGTCCAGCAACTGCTTGGTTTCAATCGCTGACTTCAGCTCCTGTTGGAAAGACTGCACCTGTCCAGCTTATTGTTCTGGAGGTATCGGTAGGTGTCTGTCAAATTTGCATGCGTCACTGTGCCCTTCTGCACATCAGCAGAGGTGAACACTGGTATCACACTGATAGCACCCTCGACTGCAACCCTAGCGGGGGAGCAGAAGGGCGGCAGATGCAGCAAGTGCTCTGGGACTTCTGCAGTGAAGTCTCCGAGCTTATGTATACGGTTAGTAGCATCGACCTTGTCGGACTGCACAAAGAAAGCGCCCACCTGGACCAGAATGCGATCCACGTCTTCGTCATGCTTGGCCTGCTGCATCTGCAGCTCCTTCTCCACCTGTGGCGGCAGACCGTCTATTCACTCGTATCCAAAAACAGCTTTGTCTGTATGATCCTCTCCCAACGGCTACACTGGTAACAATGCAGGTGCAGCAAAGAGGACTCTTGTCACGAAGCTCTGCAAGATAGTCGGCTTCGCGAGTCTCAAATCCAAGAAATCATGTTATGGATGGGGCAGGATGCAGGAACGGGGTTGAGGAGTTACTGGCATCCCGCTGGGACAGCTGTGGCCCGGGCCTTGCTGCGATGAGACTCCTGTAAGAGCACCCGCAGATCCTTCCAAAGCCGCTTGCAAATCTTCCAGATTCAAGCATGTTCGCTTAGTGCTGTGATGCCGGCCATGCCAGAATCGCCTGGAACTTTACACCACGGCAGCTCGCCTCGACATCCAAGGCACTGTCTGCCAATTCCCAGCGCTGGTGCTTCTCCTGAGGACTTTTTATCTGTTTCCTGTGGGACTCTCGCAGGGTGTCCAGTGCAGGTGACTTCTGGATATTTCTGGGCACTTGAATCCGAATCGCACTGCAACCCGTCGAGTATTTTTGATGGTTGCCTGCTGGCTGTGGCATCGAGAGGAGAATGCCTCCAAGAAGTGATGCTTGGCCATGTCCTCAGTGCCAGTCATGTGGACCCTCGCCCTGAGAGAAGCGTGGGTGAGGTCGCTCGCATTTTGACCCGTAATTGCTTACCATGTGCACGCATAACAAGCCCTTGGCCGGGAGCTTTGAAGGTAACGAGGGAACCCAAAAACAAACTGGAATTGGGCAGGCGGACAATCGTTTTCGTCGAACACCAGCCTCAAGCCTACGCGATCGATGTATGTGGTGCTGTCTCAGTCGCTGCTTCGTGCCGGGACTCCTTGTCAGCGCAAGCAAGGAGGAACAAGAAGAGCTGTGTAGCCTAGGGCTAGCCTAGGGTGTAGATGTCATCAGGTCAGTGCAGCCAAAGGCAAGCAGCAACAAGTTGACAAGCCACAGAACGAGCAATGGCCGAGACGCGTCAAACAAGAGGAAGCATAGCAACACGAACCCGAACATTCACACCGATAACAATATCAATGACGAGGACACTAACACAAAGAACAACACTCAGAACAGCTACAATCATAACACTGTCACTGACAAGAACAACAGCTTGAACCGAACAAGACCTACAACAACACAAAGAACAATATCAACAATAAAAACGATAAACAGACAAATACCGAGAACAGTAATATTAGCACGAGGAACAAGAAGAATAACAACAACAACAACACCAACACACCACCACCACCACCACCACCAACAACAACAACAACAACAAGAAGAACAAGAAGGTACAGCAGGCGTTGCGTCTGCCGCCGCGGAGGGTGCGTCGTTTCTTTGGAAAGCCCGCAAAACGCGAGACTGTTGCGGTTGGAGTGTCTGACAAGTAACATTAACAGGAAAACAGCAGCAACAGGGAGCAACATTGTCATTGATATCATCATAGTTGCCATCATCTCTATCCTTAATCCTCTGCATGACCCAAAAGCATCAACACCATTATCATCATAATCACCAGAATTGCCGACATGATCGTAATCAGGAGCATCAACATCATGCTCATCATCATCCTCATCAT